TTTAAATAATTATTGTAAAATAATTTTGTAAAAATAATTATTTTTTTTGGAGATTAGACGTATGTACATATATCGGATTAGATGTATGTACATATATAGGATGTCTAGTTTTATTTTTGATAAATAAATATCTGGAATCGTGGGGAGAAAAAATGTATCAAATAAAAATTGTAAAATTTCAAGGGTCATAATTATAATATTACATAATTACATATAATATTACATAATTATAATATTGATTTATTTACAAATAAAACTACCGTCGATTATTTCTTTATGACTACCATTCTTTAAAATAGAATTACATTTTTTTAATATAATATGATTTCTCTATTATGGATATAAAGAATATACTAAGTTACAATTATTAAAAGATCAATATTTTACGAGATATTTTTACGCATAGAATAATAAAACAAATCAATTGGCATAAAAAATACACATTTGCTTTGAAAAAAAATTATGCAATTAGCAATATGCATATACTTCTTTTTAAAAATAACTACATATTTTTTCTATTCTAATTGATTTTTCTGATTGTCTCATTGTTTTGTACATAAAAGTATTAAGATACAGTTATGAAAAAAATGAATAATTTACAACATATTTTATATTTTATCAGAATAAGGTATAAAATACTTTCTAAACTATTGACTTTTTGATACTTGAACTGTGTACTTTAATATTTTCATATTCAGAATAAGTAAAGGAAATACTATGTAATGAAATACGTGATTCTATTTTAAAAAAATGGTAACCATAAAGAAATATTGATAGTAGTTTCATCTGCAAATAAAGGTGTGTTATAATTAATATTATAATCATATAGCTCCTCGAAAGTTTATAACTTTTATTTAATTTTTTCTAAAACTCCACCATTTCTAAACATTTGACTGTTAAAAATAAAATACAACACTCTGTATAAAATAATATGCCGGATATATGATGCATGTATAGTATTTAATTAGATAAATATATTACTTATTCACTTAAATTTTGTTCAGAAAATATTCATCTAAATATTATTTCTAATGATTTGAATAGAGATAAAAGGGTAATAATTGCGAAATAAATTGAATATAATCTCATAGAAAAAAAATTCATTATTTTTATTACATTATATAAAATCGAAAAAAAATGCATGCTTATAAATTTGTAGAAAAAATATTATATATTACTTTTAAAAAGGCTGTAATTTACTTTTACATTTTCGAAATAATGACAACTTAAACTTGTAATTAAAATTAATTAAAATATTTTGAGAATTATTAAATACACATTTGAATAACTGTACAATAACTGTAACTATCATTTTGAATTCCAGATAAATATTTTTTAGGATTGTATATATCGGAATTTTTTACATACATCATGAAACTATGCAATATTGAATTTTATGAGATTTGTTTTTAAAAAATATAATAATATGTTTTTTTCATCTTTATATATCAATAAAAATGATAATTTTATGACTTCACAAAATAATAGACTCATTCCGATTATTATTTTACTTATTTACATATTGGATTAGTAGCGTTATTATCTCACAACAAAATAAATTTTTAATACATATATATATTCGATCGTATAACTTCACATTATCCCGAAAAGTAATAATTTGTTTGCCAAAAAAGTAAACGTTCTGCTAAAGAACATTAATTTTTTTACATTAATTAAACAGATATCTAAATTGTTGATCGAATTAAGCAAGTAGAGTGCGTTGCGGGCAATTGCGTGTCGATTAACAATAAATTAATAACAATAAGTATAATAATAAATTTTTTTCAACAAGAATAAACGGAGAATATTAGTCGAGAAACTTATTCAATATACATTAATCTATCAAAGAGTATACATACGTTATGATATTAATGTTCATATATTATATTAAATATCATTATATATTATATTAAGTCATATAGTATATTAAGTTAATTTTACTTTAAATTGTAATACAATGGAAATTTCAAAATTTATAATGTAATATCTTTGTTGTTTCAAAAATTAATAGGAACTTTAAAATTGATATTTTACAGATATTTTAATGATTTATCCATTGCTTATAACGCTAATGTAAATGTAATGTATAACGATCTTTTAATTGTTTAAAATATAAACTGACTTATAGAAATAGCAAATTTTGCATTTTAAACTTTGTAAACCTTTTAATTTTTTTATTTTTTTACTCATACATAAAGAAAAATATTATTAAATCATTTTTTAGAAGATATACTTACAATCTGGAAAAATTTTTACTAGAATATAATACTTTGATTTCGAAAAACATATACACACAATATATATGTAAATCATACAATATGTGAAAGTTATCAATGTCACATCGGTTAACCAACTCACGCTCATTTTTAGTGCTGCGTATTTATAGACTCGTAAAGCTACAACACTTGTTCCCCACTAAAAAATACATAAAGTGCGTACAATTGTTATATCGCACGCACATATTTTCTTCTTAGGATCTAATTATGATAGATCTAATTTTTTAAACTCTTAATCTCTTTTGTTATTCTTGCAAATATTGATTCTTTTTAAAAAGCGATAAGTATTCTTATAATTATCGTCATATATGACAATTCATATTTATTTTTTTATCCTTCCTATTTACACAATGTTTGCAATACAATGTATTATGCAATATTTATTCAAGTATTCAATTTACGATATGATTTAAAATTTAAAATAAAATAAATTTTTTTTGCATGTCGATATTTATTATATTACACACTGCTAATCCAAATTTTAACAACTCAATAATAACAAAGATATTCCAAATTAGTCAGAAATTACGAAATTACTATCGTTTTGAAATATATGACATTGCGATTGTCCTTAGTTGATTCAAAAAGAAAAAATTTCTTTATACTCAATATGCAAAATAATATATGCACAGAATCAATTTTCAGTTGAAAACGCGTCATTCATCGATTTTTTATTATTAATGCAAATGATGGTTATTAATATAACAACATCGGTTATTAATATAACGACAACTCAAAAATCAATATATAATACATGATACCCTCACCTATTGAAGAAATTGAAAGGATTGTACACGCTACAAAGCTCTCATAGTTTCTGTAAAACCAGTTGGAAAGTACACGAGAAATATACATTCGTGATTGAAACGATCGACTGACTAAACCTTATCACCTGTTCATCGGTAATTTATAAGGAGATGGGAGATTGGCCCGTAACTAAGCTCGTAGCCTATCTTATTACTAAAATGTACAATTAACACCCCGATCACGTAACGCATGATGGACGCGTGCGGGCGTGTCTCACGAACGCTCCGAGTATTTTGATCTTTCAAAGGCATAGCCAGAGGTGAAAATCGCAAAGCGCGAGATCGTTAAAGAGAATATTTCACGTACATTTTTCTATTCACGGTCGTTGTACAGCGAGGCAGAAAATCCAAGGAAATACAACTTCAAGATGAAACAACGACTGCCAATCATTTCCACAGATTACTACTCAAATTATGTTATTATGTAATGTATAATTCAATTTAAACGTTATCATGCTTCGCTTTTAGTGGTGTCTTTATCGGTGTCTTTTATCCACTATGTAAGATTGATTGATTTGTTAAATTTTTCGGATCCATTAATATTATACAAAATAATATTATTTCATGGTTGCAAAAAATTATTTTGTTCGACAAACATGATATTTCTCCTTAAAAAATAAAACCTGAACAATATGTATATCTTTGTGTCAATTAAAAATTCTTCCTTCCAATGCAAGCGATAATAGTTGTTTTACTTAATTCTCCTTTAAAATATTATTATCAATTATTGGCGCTAATTACATATTTAATCCAAATAATATGTATCATTTGTATAAAGGATGTCATATTAACAACTGACGCCAAGTTATGTGAAACGTTATAAGTGGTATATTTCTTTAAAAATATATGTATATCATTTGTATAAAGGATTTAATATCAACAAGTGACATTAAATTATAATTTCATTATCTTGACAGTTAAATATATAACTATTTTTGAAAACTAAAATTAAAGAGGTACGTATCTTTGTATTCCCATTAAAAAAAAATCTTCTTATTCAAACCCAAGTGGTAATAATTCTCTTTAAAAAATGATATAAAATTGCGTTACCTAATTCAAATAATATTGTCGTGCTCGCGGCAAGCACTTACACAATATCGCGACGGGCATTCACACAATATCGCACTCGTGAAATAAGCAAGAAAATGTTTTTATCAAGAAAATAAACTCTATTAATTTCAAAGCAGGAAAAAATAATCGCGGCTGCTCTGCAAAACTGAACGACTGCTAAGCAACAACTCGTCAAGAGTACCGCGTCGCGAAACATTCTGCGTCTCGTCCAATTTATTATCTTTATAATTATATTTTATAATTATATTTTATATATACTGATGATCTTAGTTTTATAAAAAGAGGCTAAGAAGGGAAAGCGTGTGTCACGACGGGGCCGACCACGAACCGGTCGTAAAAATTCGCAATTAATTTGCGAAAAATATCACCTCAGCCAGGAATCAAATTTGGATTTCCTGCTTACCGGACAGGCATTTTATCCTTTCGACT